AAGGGCTGCCTTCGCAAGTTTCGTGAAGATACGGGTCAGGACCTTGTACTAATATGCTCGTCCTTCGAATGCGAACCGCAGCAGTGGGCTGTGGTGTGGAAGGATCAACACATTAAAGTATGTGTCCTCCGCGGGGGTGGACGCAGGGGGCCACCCTCGGCGATGAGCAGGCTGGGGCGCTGCGGCCATGTTGGATCGCCTGAGTCTGCTCCTGTGCAGCCGAGAACTGCTGGGCCACGTTCTCGACTGCGTCACCGAAGAGACTGGTCTGGGACACAGGGTCCTTGAGGAACCGAATTTGTCGTCGTCCCTCATGTCGGCCAGACACAGCCAGAGATGGCGCTCCTGGACCACAAGTGTGGAGGACAGACCAGACGAGTACCTACAGACCCGGGAGGGGAGGCACGGTTTGCCTTGCCAGGTGAAGGCGGTATTAGGACACAACTGCATCGCAACCGACCGCTCCACCGGGGGGACCCCCATATACTGCCTAGCTGCACCACCGTCAAAAGTGGTGAGGGAGAAATAGTTAGCAGGTCGGTTTCTGGCAGAAAAAAGTGCCTTCCACGACCTGGTAAGCCCCCTCATGCACCTCCGGGAAGCATGGCACCCACGTGGGGCGCTGAGAACCAGCGCGGGTCACCCCGAAGAACCAATCGTCCAACCTTGAGGGCTCGGGACACGGTGGAGATTTCCACTCAAGCCCTACCCTCACGGCGGCCCGGGAAAGCATAGCCGTCATTTCCGGATTCGATTCAGGAATTGCTACAGTCCCAGAGGGCAGCAGCGCAGCCGAATCTTCCCTCAACTGGTTGCGGAGTGCAAGAGGAGCGATGGTCCCCCGAGGGTTGGTTCCCTGGAGGGTTTGCCATCACTGTTATCCTCAGACCACCCGTGCTACTGCCTGAAGTAGCCCACGCCTGACTGCCGGCATGACGAGAACTAGATCGAGGCAGAGGCAACGGAGCTCCGCCCCTTTTGAGGTAACGGAGCTTGGCCCGTAACTCCGAGATGGTCATCTTCCCGCAATGAGAACATGACTCATCCATGAACGCCACCTCAGCATGCCTAATGCCCAGACACGTGAGGCAGCGATCGTGACCATCATCCGACACCAGGTAACGACCACATCCAGAAACGCACGGGTGATACGTTGTCTGTAGCAAGACGCAACGTCGTCTTTACAAAGACGCAATGTCGAGTTTGCCAGACGCAACGCCGACTTTACAAAGACGCAACGTCGAGTTTACCCTAGTAAGAACTCTAGCTGCTGCATTTTGGATCAGCTGGAGTTTGTTTTTTAAGCGCGCAGAGCAACCACCCAATAAAGCATTAATCTATCACACATCAGAGGCGTCATTCTGTACATACTTTCTCAAATGCTGCGATCCAAAACAGTGAATGTAATCACCATTCATGCAAAAGTTTGCTTCAAGACTGACCACACTGCTGATGTGATCTTATCGCTAGCACACCCTGAGCATGTGTAAGTTATTCTTCTTATCAGCAGGGCATATTGGCATAATTTTTTTCAAATCGGCCGATGCCAATGTTTACATTTTAAGCCTTTATCGTCCAATTCCGATAACGTTCTGATAAAATCGTGCATCCCTAATTTGTTTTGTAAGGTTCTATATTGACATCCTAGTAAAAAAGCAGGAAATAACGTCTACAAAGGGTGCATAAGTTGAAGGTCAAATGTCACATGGAAGCTCTTTTTGGGTCACAGATCATAGAAGTTGAAATCTCATTGTAAATCTCTTTCCATGATTGACTGTGCTGCAGCTCTAAGGATGAAGATTGAAAACAGCCTGCCTTGCTCTCAGCTCCCTGAGGCCCCTCCTCAGACCGGGCTGCATTTTACAGTGGCAACGGAGGAGGACTTTGATGACATCATGGCCATGAGCAAGGATATCTATGGCGGCCTGGACTATCTGCCCTCCCGCTATCAAACCTGGCTGCAAGAGAGCAACCGCACTGTCATTTTGGCTCGTAAGCAAGGCAAAGTGGTAAGAAAGTGGATATGAGGAGCTTATTGCAGTGCATGTTCCATCCTCATTGCTTTTAAGGAATACTTTACCAAAAATGAAAATCAAATGAAAATAAAGTCCATGTGACTTTATTTTGGGCAAAACATGTAAAGAACATACAGGATATTTGAACAATATCCTGGCCACATCATGCAAAAGTGCAAAGACATCACACTGTCTTAGGAACACTTTACATAAACCAACTCACACCTCTTTCAAATGGCTTAAGAATGTTAAAAATGTAAAAAAAAAAAAAAGTTTAAAATGGCTTTGCACTGATGTTGTACTAGGACATTAATAATAATAATAATAATACCTATAATAAAAATATAACTTATGTTTTTATAATTAGATTTAAAAAAAAATCATAACTATTATATATAACTATATAATTATTTTTACAGTTATATAAAAATAAAGACAAATATATTACTTTTGTACTATTACAAACGTACTGTAAAAAAAAGGAATGGTCATATTTATTTATTTTTATTCATGAACAATATTTGTGTCTTAATTTCTTTACTTTCAGGGGTGAACCATCAAGCTTTTACTTTGGCAGAAAACTACTGAGAGACTTTTAAGTTTCTGTGTTTAGTTTGATCATTTCAAAATGATTATTTAAGTTTCTAGGTAAGTTTTTAGGTTGATCATTACAAAACTACCAAAATGCAGAAAACTTCTGTCCACAAACATATTGGAAATTATGCAAATGTAAAAAAGTGAACCTGGTGCACGTTTTGCAAATGCACGTAGTGAGTGACTTGCACTTGAAAAAAATCGAGACACTGAGAATACCAGATCGTGCATAGGTGTAAATGAACACAATTACACACTTCACTCTGAAACACGCAGAGCATCAGACTATGTTTATTTAATTTAATCACATTTTTTTTGTGTGATGTGATAAACGCACTAAGCCATATCACAATATCAGTTTTATTTTTATTAATTGTGCAGCCCAAAATGAAACTGACAGAAATTACAAAAGAGCTCCATGAAACTCTCTTTCTATCTTAGAAATAACTCTCTTTTTATGCAACTACATTTTCCAGATTGCACTGGAGTCAGTGTGTGTTATTGATGATGGCGAGACCATGCTGGTGGAAGGGCTTCGTGTTGCCCCCCAGGAGAGGGGGAAAGGTGTGGCAGGGGTACTTCTTCGGTTTTGCTCTCAATTGGTTAAGTCCAAGTACCCTGATGTTAAAGTCAGCAGGCTGACAAGAGATGACCAGCTGGGGCCAAAAGACTTCCAGAAGTACCGGCTCATCACCAAACAGGTAAGAACCATTTACAATAAAATATGAACATTTTGTTCAGATCTTGAATTAAAACAGCTAAAGCCACATTGTCTTCATTCTGCCACCTAATTAAAATATGAAGGGAATCCTCCTGGTGCGCTTCCGTGCTGAAGACCTAAAATTATGCCTTGCTGATCTTGGGCCTAATATCACTGTAGCGGGGGAGGGTCTGTCCACCACAAACTTCCCGGTCCGTTTGGAGCCAGCAGAAGTGCATCAGCTCTTCCTAAGCGATGTTCTAATGCAGGGTGTCCTTCCCAATGCCACCATCGTTCAAGATTGGCAGCCCTTCAAGCCTCTGCCTAGCAACATGGCCATCCTGCTGAAGAAGGATATTGATTGGATGGTTGATGATGCCAGGCGCCCAACCATGGCCAGCTTGTGCACCTTCCCATTCCGTGTGCCAATCGGTGATGACTGGTACTACCTCAACATCGACATGTTTGGTAAAGACCTGACGCTGGCCATACAACAGCTGTTGTGCCACCTGAGGTGCCACACTGGCACTCTGATGGGTTACGTTATGTGTCAGGTGTTCCTAGAGCCTGCGCTGTGGAAGCCTATGGCTGATTTCTTTAGGGAAACCCTTAAAGTGGAGCTGGTGAAGGAGTACACAGAGCAGTGTGTCGTGGAGTCTGATGTCGTTTAGTCGAGGAGCATCAGAAACACCTTCCCTTAAAATTAGACACCAAACCTACATAAACGTAAGGAATTTTAATATCTCCGTCAAATTTGGCAACTAAAAAAAAACACCTAATATATCTACTATAAAGGGACGAAAAAAACTTCAGTTCTATTCCGCTTAATGAAAATGCTCTCATAGGATTTAATTTATTTTAACAACAATTAATGAATTAAAAAAAGGCATGTAAGTGAACAAACTAGAATAAAAGTAGTAGACGCTTGTTTAGGTTACTTAATTTATTTCCATATGCAGTACTGTAAACGGTGGCGCTGAATGGACCGGGACTGGAAAAGAGGGAAGCAGTTTCAGATTATATAAAATAGGGACTCAAATTGTTCCAGGCCCTTTCATTTCTGTCAGCATCACTGACAGTGAAAGCATATTTACTCATGCTGAGTTGAAAAGAAAACTGCACAAACTTTAGAGCACTTTATGAAAAAAAAAACAAAAGGGGTCTCACTTTAGTGTCTGTTGTTTTTTCAGAATGTGGCACTGTAGCTGCTAGAGTATTTAGAGGGAAAAACAAAAAACAACATTTCTAGGACTTCGTAACAGGCTGCCCATGTGGAGACCGAAATGGTCTTTAAAGGCTGTTTTAATTAACCTGAAAATACTAAACATTTCCACATGGGAAAAATGTAATTTCAGACTTTCTAATATGCTCCTTGAAAAATTAGTAATAATTCCTCTAAAGGTATCAAATTATAAATGTCTGGCTAAGAACTTGCTTATACATTTAGATTACAGTCTCAAGTTTTTGCTTTAAGTACTTGAACCTGTTTGTTAAAATGACGTTCTATCAGTATTTGTACCTAACTGTAGAAGTGCAATTGTAATAATACACTGGAATATTGCTAGAAGTACAAACAGTTAGATATGATTCATAACTAATAATGAAACAGACATGTATAATTGTTTTTAATTATATAAATTGACTGTTTGACAGGATCACATTTAAATACAAAAGGAAATATAATTAGGGATAAATACGGTATAAGTAAATGTTTAAATGCTGTTATAGTTCATTAAAAATAATTTAGTTTATAATGTAATTGAGACATCACTATGTAGTGATTTTGTTACATCATATACATATGAGTCAGAAGATACATGATCTTAAGGAAATTCCTCCAAATCCGGTGCTCCAATTACAAAAAAAAAAAAAAAAGGAGAAGAAAAGAAGAAAATCTTTAGCTGACTTAGTGTGATTCACCCATGGAATCAGGAAAATGAATTAGGACAATTGGAAACCTTAGCAAAACAAGAGACAACTGCTCATCTCTATGAAGAATTTTTGAATTTTTTGAACCGACATTTTGAAGTTAAAAGACAGACACAATCTGTCAGTGGAAAAGAATGGAGGAAATCAACATAATGAAGAAGATACAGGACACATCATCTCCTTCTGATGGCCTGAAGTGAAGAAAGTAAAGTGAAATATAACCAAGATGAATAAAGAAGAACAGAAAAGGCCTTTAGACATCTTTATAACCATATTTAATTCCTTTGCCCTAAACCCAGATTTCACGTCGCTTTTTCACTGAAGCACTGTGTCAGAATGAAAGAGAGAGACACAGTCCACACGAGCAAATGCATCATTCTTTGTTTCTTAAATGGTTACATTTCTGGTACTAATTAGGAGGTTCAATGGAACAAAAGTTCAATTAGTTTAATAGGAAACATATATATTGAAATATAACTTATAGTTTAAGAACTCACGGAGTCCACTCACAATTTGTCATACAGATTTTAATCTAAATCTGTATCCACTAAACTAAAACCAAGAATTGTATTCTTTTTACTAATTATGTGTTTGGTATGACTTCATTTGGTGGACTTATTTTGTGCCCTTGTATGAACTCTCAACATCCACTGACGAAAAGGAGGCCTCCTCTCCTCCTTCATTTGGACAGCTGCATGTGGGACTTGTATTGCGGTCAGTATTTATAAATGGTAAACAGGCTGTCTTTTTTTTTTATTCTGAAAGTCAAGGCATTTTACAGATTATTAACTCTAATTCTAATGACAGTTTATTTCATTTGTGTAGGTGGACATATATAAATGTATATGTTTGTTTGGAAGGGGCATGCTTTGAAAAGGGACTCTTTGTTCAAATTCTTTCATGGCTGAAATCTCAAAATCCTTCATGTCTGCCATGTGCTTTCAGAGGAAATCAGTTTAAAAATAGATAGTTGTGAAGCGCAAGGAAAATGAATGCTTCAGGTTCCCATGATAATTACATTTTCTCAAATTAAAACAATGTCTGTTAGAGTCAAGCGTCCCTGATATGCTATTATTAATTTGTCTTTTTCTCCTCTCTAAAGCACTCGTCAAAATGAGACATGATGGATTAAAGACCCAAAAAGTGTATGGTATGTGTTTATGTTGTACATAGCGCAGTGCATTTAGATTTAAGTCTTATTCACTCACTAGCCTCTATGTTTAGCTGTTACATTTGGTAATCCAGTAATCATTTAAGAATATTTCTCTTTTATTTATTGTTCCTATCTTTCAGCTCCACCTTTTAACACTTTGGATGTCTAATGGCCTTTCTGAGTATTTGTGAATTGTGCAGGAGATTGTAACTCTATATTTTACACAGGTCCTAGTGCCAGGGCCATGAGACTATAAACGATTAGAGGCATGTGACCACCTGATGGTGAAGAGATGTAAAGGATACGTTACCCCTTGTTTCGCTGGCACACGAGGACTGAACTTTAAACCCATTTCTTTCAATTATGAAGTGGCTTTTCACTTTCTTTTTCTAGAATGGAAAAATATGCTAGGGGCTATGCTAGGAATAGGTGGCGAGGAGAGGACGGGATCCAGATCAAGTTACGGCTCTAAAAATGAGTAAACATTCATTTTGTATTGTAAAGATGACAACAGTTAGACTTGGAATTATTTAGAGCGCTGTACATGTGACCAAAAAGGGAAATCGTCTTTAGCAAGAGAGGCCTTGTATTCGCAATTAGCGGCAACCCACTGTTTAGGAGGACAACATAGATAGACCAACCTAGACCAGGATATGCTCTGGTTGATCAGACTCAGCACTAAAGTAATACCTTGAGTGCTAAGTCATATGAAAGCAAATATATACTCAGACACTTGTTATCTTGTGTGACTTTGGGCTAGTTAAAGTTTCAGGGCTCTGAGTAAGTGAAACTGGATCTCGAGAGTGTCATCTTGCATAGAACAAGGGTTCGCCCCAGACTCCCTTTACCTTCCACCTGATCCCCGTCAGCTTGACACATGGAAAGATTGAGCAGGAGAGGTTCAAATAAGAAGGCTGGGTTCCAGCCTTGTCATATGCCACGCTGCTCAGTACCTATTCCTGATTTTTATGTTGTTTATTTCACGATGGCATCTTTTGTTTTTCATTTTCGTGACTGCTTTGTAATGTTTATGAAGGGCTTTATGTGTATTAGAATCAGCTGTGTATTGTGTTTTGTGAAACGCTTGCGCGTGAATGAAGGCTTACAATGACTTACAAAGATACATAACAGCTACAAGTGTATGCACTACTTGCTTTATGCAAGCACTATATAGGATAAATCACTATACAGGATTTACCCTATTATACTTTATCGACACGAATTGATAGGTGCAACAACAAACAACCACCCCCAAATAGTCTATAAACAAAGCATCAGGCTGTCTTTGAGTTCACATGAACAACGGTTAAAGTTACTCGTCGTCAGGCTACAGAATACCATAATTCCTCCGTTCAATTAGGCCTCGAGACATCGAGAGTCACGCAGACCTATAACAACCCAGCCACAACACATAATTGCGAATAACATGCCTTACTTTAACACAGAATCGACCACAGAGTCCAGCGTTTATATTTTTTCTACGAATCTTTGGGTTAACATGTACTAAACATGAGTGGAATTTGCACCGCAGCGCTCCCACACCTTGATGCTCATGACAAGAATAGCATGTATAGTTATCTTTATTGAAGTGAATTAGGTTTAAATCGCCGTCATGCATGAATGAATGATATTTTTGCAATTTTACACATAATAATCCACGATGATCACATTACACAAAACTGAAATTGCACGTCAAAATAACACATTGTCAATATTTTTTGAGACCCCCCAAAATTTCACAAATCACGTTTTCAGGGGAGCCCATGTCTTATTAAGGGGAGCCGAGCTCCCCCTAGCTCCCCCGTAGTTCGCACCCTGACTGTAGATATGTAGATATTCCAAAGCACAGTGGGGATCTTCATAAAACATCAATGTGGGTTGCTGTAACAGTCATGGCCATTCAGTGGATCATGCTATATATATATATATTTTTTTTGTAATCAGAATAGGAGCATGGGCCTATCTGCGTAATGTTTTTAAATTCAAGGATATTTTTCGTGGTGTGCTTCTGACTTTATAGACGTAATAAAGTTCCTGCTTAATGACCATTGTCTGAAAAACCCACACTGTACCTGTCTGAAACCGCTGATGGACATATTTACCACTATCAGCAAAACAGGGACCATGATTTCTACAGACCTCAAGAAGGTGGTGGTTTGAATGTCCATGTCATCCATTCTCTTGATGCAGCAGTGGTTGCTGAGTTTGTTTTCACTCAAGTCTTCCCATTAGCCCTAGATACAAACTGGGTGTCATGTTTTGTGTGTTTGTGCAGAATATTTGAAAATCTCCTATGATGGGAAACTAATGCTTGTAAATGAGATTTAAAAAAAGAACTCATGGCCAACTGTCAATCAAGAGGGTGAATACAGTTTCAATGCTATAAAGGCATTTTGATTACATAAATTGTTTTCCTTTTTTTAAAGATTTTTTTTATTACCCAATATGACTGCTTATTCTCAAGCAGTGATGTGACAACTAATGGAAAATATTTTAATATTTTGTTACCTTTGTCTGTTCATTTTTTCAGAGATTGTGAGAGATGCAGAACTATTTTAAATACAGTCATTTTTGAAAAACCTTATAATCCATGAGAGGTTTTTGAAATGTGCATGTTGTGTGAGTGGGTGGGGAAGGGCTTTACAATGAGCATGTGACTAGATTTACACTGAGCACAAAGACCCTGTACTAATTCGTTGACATTTAGAACCTGTCAAATTGGAATTGGTGATAATTGACAAATTAATGTTTAAACAAAGTCTAAACAGCGTATTTATAAATTGTAGGGGTAAACTTTTTTCCTCTTCTTTTTTAGCCATGATATACATTTTTAGAGATTATAGGCTATACATAGTTAATTGTTAAAGGGATTAAAAAATCTGATCACTGATAATTTTGTTTCCTCTTTTTGCTTGCGGTATTTTGTTGGAATTGTGTACATCTCTATATACCTATTTCTTTGTATATTTAACAAATAACTCGGCTTGAATATTTTATTATACAATATATATTTAGAAATGTTTCCAAAACTAGAAACTGTCACTTCTTAAAATCAACATTACAGCAGCGGTCATTATGTGTAGACAGTGGTTTAACTAAAAAATGTAATGTGCTATTATTTATGCTAGTATTGCTATTTTATGTTGTTTTTTCTTCTTTCTTCCTTTTTTATAGTTTTTTTTCTTTTTCTCCTTTCTTCCTTTGTTTTTGTTTTTATTGAGTACATTGTTAAATTGAGTACAAATCCTGGCTGGTACACTCGTTTTCAGAAATGATTTACAAAATTCATTTCATTCCCTATTCTTTGAATTTAATTAATTCAATTTATTTTTAAATTTGCCTTTACTAAATGTTAAATGTACCAATGAATGTTAGTAGGAAATTGTAAATGGTTGGATGATCCAGAATGATCACCCAGGATGATCCAGAATCAGTTTAAAGTGTGACTAGGCATATGGTATGAAGTAACCTTATCTTATTTAAGTAACAGATATGCCACTGGCCATGAAGTCTATGTGCTTTGTTGCATGTTTTTTTTTCTTTCTGTAACTTTAAACAATATGTAAATAATTTATGTAAAAATCTAGATAACATCTAAAGTCAGAGCTTTGTCTCTGTTGTCAAGTGTGACGAATAATTCTATTTATAGTTTCCCAAAGATCACATTGAATGCAGTAGAAATCCAGATGTACCCCATGCAATCACAACTGTCCTGTTTACATTCTGCCATTTAAAAAAAAGCCCAAAACCATAAGCTCAAGAGACACAGTCTTTGACAAGACCCAAAATGTTGAAATTCTGTATATCATTCATTGAGATCCTTGGAATTTTCGGAGCTTAAAAACAGCTCGGTTTTTATGACTGCAATATGTGATGGAAAACAGAGTCACTGTAGTCTTTTTGAGTTTCTTGGTTAATGTCAACCTTTTGTTGTGTTTTTGTATTACTTTCCCTTGTGCATAACCATTTCATATTTTTAACATTTTAACTAGTGTTAACTATGCTGTTTGTCATTATCATTGTAACTCCGTAAGCATAATGAGCTCTATTATTAATGGCAACAGATGTAATGCAGTAATTATTTTGCAAGAATGAAAATATGGCAGATAACAAACGGCATTATATGAAGACCTGTGATTAATATTTTGTTGATCAAATGAATTTGTAAAAGGACTGGTGAGGTTAAAGCCACTTGCTGTAGTTGCAATGCAGTATCAGGATGAACAAAATGTATCTAAATAGCATAGTTTAGATGTTATTCGCTAAGTGATGTTTTGAATTGATGTATTAGAATAATTGTTTTATTTTCCAAATTGTTAATCAAAACTTAGTGTTAGAGATATTTGTGTGTGTGTTTACCTAACTGTATATTGTACTGTTTAGCAATAAACAAACTAACAAACAAAAAAGAGAAAAAAACTAAAACAACCTTTAAACAAACAAGGCATATATTGAATTCAAAAGCGTTAAGAAAAAAAAAGGAAGTGAATGTTGTTGCCAATGGTAATTTGTAGTTATTCTGAAAAAAGTGAGAGCCATACATTAGTTGTTTTTTTTATATGCATCACAACATGTATTATCAGAATGCTGAGCAGATGCTTTCAAGTGACCTACACATTACACAAATAACGTTACAGACAAATACCAGGACAAGCAGCTGACTTTACACATGCTTGCCAAGCTAGGCCTTAGTCACCAAGAAGAAACTCCTTACAACTGCAGGTATAATAAAACTTCCCTAATTACTTTAACTTCTAGCCAAGGTGCTTGGTAAGAGGCTACTAATTCGATTTGTTAAGATTGTTAAGTGTGATTAGTTTCTTTCCATAAGGATTGATGGGGTTTTTTAATCTTGGATAAGCTATTATTTTATTGATGGGACTCAAAAATCAACCCTTCCAACATATAAACCCTGTGCTGCACGGTGACAGTATATTAACCACTTCAAAATACTACTATTATGCATATACACTTTTATCCATTAAACGCTTGCACCATTATATTATGGAGAACACATGCACTGCCAGCACATAATGTAAAACATTTAGGCTTAGTAAACAAAAAACATGCAGCTACAGGGAAGAGCGCTATAGCATAAAATAAGTGAATCAAACACAGTGCTACGAAGCAAGGATAAATATGCATATATCAGGCAATGACAAATGGAGAATGTGAGAAGCTTCTTTGCTGAACTATGCTGACATGAGAAGCAGCTGTCACTGCAGCCTCACATTACTGACCTCTAGCATTCTACTGCTGCACAAGAACAATACATTGTCTTATAGATGACATTATGAGCATTTCTAAATAAACATAGGAAAATGGGAATGTCTCAAATGTGTGGTAAAAAACGGTGGCAGCCTACTTTAGACAGAAAATGAGAGATGGGCAGCTGCTAAAGATAGGTTTGAGGAATTAAACCCATGCCACCTGTTCTTGGATTACAATGAGTATTTCAGAAATGCATTGCACTCTAATTCAGATAAGTAAATCAGAGGTGAGATTAAATAAAATGAGTCTAGAATGCTGACATCACGACTGTTTTGGGGCTTATACATGGTTGCTTTTGGAGGAGTGACATTTATGAAGTGATGATTTAATCACCTTTATTAATGTTTGCAATTTTATGATGAAGAGAAACGAGAACATATATTTGATCTGCTTTATGAATTAAGTGTGCCACATAAAATCACGGTGAGGAAGTCTGAGTGTGGTGCGAAAAAGAAACATCTACCCTTTCTGTTTTTATGGTTGTAATTATAACTTTTCCTCCAAAACATTAATGAGGTGTTCAAATCAAAATATAACCATAATGTTGGACCTTCATAACACTAAATGTGGTGGGATTACTCAGTTTAAAAAAATATTGTGATATGAGATGGTACTGCGTGTACTAACTTGTACTAAAAAAAAAAGAATACAGTTCTTGACAATGTCCTTTTGTGAGTTATATAATGGCAATGGCCTAGACAACATCAGAGTGGAATTTACCCAAAGTCTATTTCTTGCAATGCAGAGCTATAGAGGGGGATGGGAAGCACAGTGTATTGCAGTGTAGAAGAGGGCTGCAGTTAAAAAGGAGACAGCAGAAGTCTTACAGCGCGGTCCAATGCAGTGCTTTTTAATTTCACATTATGCTGACAGTGGTTAGAAAGTCTGTCGCAACCCATCATTTAAAGCAGAAGTATTGTGTGGGAGTAAATGGTCAGTTATGTACTGCATAATATATATATTTACAACAACATATCTGCAATAAATAGTGTTAGTTAGCATATGATCACATGCCACACACAGTGCTTAAACCTCTGTATGTACACCTGTCCATCTGACAGATGGGAATGGGGGAGGGGTGGAGAAAGAAAGAGATGGTAGGAGAGAAAATGGGTCAGAGGAAGAAGCAGAGGATACAGAAAAAGGACGCACATGTCTAATAAAAATAGAAAGGAAAATAATCAAGCAGACTGGATCTAAGAACAAAGCACAAAGCCACTGGGGGACGTCGACTATGTTCATTCTAGATGTTATTTTAAGCCCATACACTACAAGACAACAAAGTCAGATGAATCACAATCACGTAGCTATGAATCTTAAAAGCATTGTGAATATACATGAAAACAATATCAGAGTGCCCAAAACATCTTTCTGAATGTGTCTGTGTAAATGAATGTACCCAGGTCTTCCTGATCCTCGGGTCTTCCTTCAAATCTTTCTATGGTACAGACAATCGGGTTCCAAAGATTTTTTGAATAGTCTTTAAGAGGAGCAGATGTTAATGGCTCATAAATAACTCAAATGGATTTGTTGAGGGTCAGAACGGGGCAGAGGCTTGTGTGTAAATGACTATGTGTGTCTCTGTGTAAGAAAGCAGAAGAGAGAGAGAGAGAAAGTGAGCAACAGAGCACATGGTGTGGACTCAGTGTAAATTAGGCCCAAGGCCATTTATAGGAGAAAAGGGAAGGTGGCTGTATAGCAAAAGAACAGAGTGACCTACACATTCACTAAATGACCTGCTAGGAAGATTGCTTTTCTTGCTGGAAACTGTGCATGGTCTAAACATTGTCTTATGAGCTTCATTTACATATTGGTAACTTTTAAAGAGACTGGGGAAATACATGTGTATAGTTGATCCTAAGATAGTTACTGATTTCTTTTGAGTAAGCAAACATGACTCACAGATAATATTTGAATAAAAGGCAATCCAGTATTCATCTGAAAAAAATCAAATCAAATAGTTTATGATTTATTTAACAGATACATGCAACATTTTACAGTGTTATAGTATTGTTACAAAATAAAATTGTTCTACAGTTCTTAATGTCTAATCCAATCATTTCCATATACCTTCTTTTTCTCATTTCCTTTTAACTTTTTCTTTTTCGGGTGATAATTAGTTTCGGCAAGGTGTCGGTATTTTCACCTACAATGTAATAACAGTGATAACGTTAAACAAAAACTTAAAAAATATAAGTTAATGTTATCGCATTGGACTAAAACTTTTTTTTGGTATTTCCCCCCCACCTTTTTACTCTTTGTCTTCCCAGTCAAATACTGGATTCAATATATGACCCTGGACCACAAAACCAGTCTTAAGTCGCTGGGGTATATTTGTAGCGATAGCCAAAAATACATTGTGTGGGTCAAAATGATAGATTTTTCTTTTATGCCAAAAATCATTAGGATATTAAGTAAAGCTCATGTTCCATGAAGATATTTTGTACATTTCCTACCGTAAATATATCAAAACTTCATTTTTGATTAGTAATATGCATTGCTAAGAACTTAATTTGGACAACTTTAATGGCTATTTTCTAAATATGTTGATTTTTTTTTGCACCCTCAGATTCCAGATATTCAAATAGTTGTATCTCGGCCAAATATTGTCCTATCCTAACAAACCATACATCAATGGAAAGCTTATTTGTCAACGAGGCCTAATCAATCATTTAAAAAAAGAAATACAAAACCTCTGCTAACTAAAAGAAAACATTACGTTGACAAAAAAATCCAAGATTTGGTGATAATAAAGCATAATGAGAGATTTACAAACACATTTTAAAAGGCCAGTTAATTTTGACCAGGAACATCAAAGTAGCTAAAGGATTTTCAGTGAAGCACAAGAGTAAATCATAATACTAAATTATATTAAACATTAAAAGGAACCTCTTTATGGTTTGGTGTTAATGTAGGGGTACTGTCAGTCTTACAAACGGGGCTGTGGGGATCATAAGACAAAATATGGTTGGCAAACACTGCTCTAGAATGACAACACAGCCCTAGCTTGAAGTGTGTGTGTGTGCGTCTGGTCATCTCAGTTGTCGCCTTCTTTCGTTAACCTCCTGTCTTAGAAATATATCACTTACAGTTGAAGTAAGGCATCATTACATTGTGAATTAAAGCTCCTCTCGGAATAAAAGGCGATGCATTTTCCATTTACATATTTGCTGGATGTTTCCACTGATTTGGCCAGCCCTTGCAGTTTCCATTAAATGATTCCATTTCCTCAAGACATAAAAAGTTACCACAGTTTTTGCATATTCATTTTTAAATATCAGATAATACACTACTAGCCTTACTAGTTAAACTTATAAATACTGTTAAACTTGAGGTGACAGCCGTTTCTGGGTAAAAAGACATGCTTGGTGGAAACTCCCACATGTTCAAGCATCATTTCCTTCTTAGAGACATCAAAGATCTGACTGAGTTGGCAATAAAAGTAAAAGAAAAAAAAGAAAGACAAAGAGTCTAATTCAGATTAGCTGATGGTAAGACTGACAGGTAGAGAGGTCTAGCGTGAACTCAGAACAACAACACAAAAAATAAAAAAACAGACAGGAAACAGGCGGAAGAGAAAGCCTATGTTGGTTTAGCGCGACAATCATGAGCAGTAACTTTCTTTGCGCTCTTCTCATCCTTGCCTTCCTGGAATCAGGTAAGTGTATATTGTGTGAAATAACTAAAAAACATTTTCATATTTGTGCATTTAAAAAAGGCACATGGACAACCAAAAAGTCTGTAGTTATTAGTTCGAGCAGACAATGCGAAAAAATTTTATGCATTTGGAAAAAGAACAGTTAAAGCCATGGAATGACAAAAATGATTCTATGGTAAATGAAGACATCATATATCAAAGTGTTTTCAAAAAGTGATAGCAAGCAAATGCTCACAAAAGCATAAACCAACGCCTTCACATGCACTGCTGACTGCTGTCTGACTAACTGCACTTTCACTGATAACATCTTACATAAACAAATGATTGATCACTTGGTTATGATATTACTTAACATAGTGTTATACCTTTTCATTAATGGGTTGCTTTTGTAGCATATTTTATTTTTATCCCGTGATTCACTTTTAGAATTTACTTTTAAAAATCACAATGATTCATTTATTATGATCTGAAAATTGATTTTGCACTGATTTCTTTGTCAAAGACTAACAACACTGTACAAAACAGCTTAGATTTTTCTAAATTGTATATCAAATGTGTAGATTATTAGAGTATATTTTACAAGAAAATACTATTTCAGTTTTTGAAATCAGCTCCAATGCCATTACTTACTGTTTCTTTGTAATTTTACTGTTTCTTTGTTTGTAAAAATTTTCTTCACCATTTTTTTTAACCTGTAGAGCGAGTAAATATTTTTGCTTCTTAACACAGCTTGTATTGAATTGAAGTTTCAGCATGCGTCATTAGCTGCTCTCTCTAAAGCATCTTTGAGGGCAGTAAATAGCGGCAACCACTTCTGAGACTAAATATAAAACAAAAGGTTCCATAATGACTTCAGATGTTTAAAGAAGGCAATACATTATTCTTTTCAGTAAATAACAAGTTTATATTCATAAAGATTTACTGGTAATAAACTTTTTTTTTGTCAGTAACAACACTAAAACTTTCTACTAAGCATTCATAATTCAATATTTTTAGGATTATGTCTCAGTGATCCTTGTAATATCTCTGTGAATGTTTTCATTTGTGTTCTTTAACAGGCAAATCAAAGAGTGGTGTATCTATCAGTCACAGTCGAGATGGATATGGCCAGAACATTACCTGTGTCCTCTCAGGGGACGAAAATATGACACAAATCAATTGGGAGATGCTAAGAGGCCCGAATCGCACCAAACTGGGCACGTTTCACCCACATTTTGGAATTTACGTAATGCAAGAATATAAGCCTAAAGTGAAGATCCAGAACAAACGGACTCCTTATCCATCATCATCCCTTCTCATTAAAGTAGTATCAAATGAGAGCGTGCAAATCTGTTGTGCGTTCATAACATTTCCTTCGGGTAAACTTGAGCAGTGCACTGATATCAGTAAGAAAGATGTCAGTATCAACACGTCTATGATAAAAGGTAAAACTTACACATGTAGTCCTATACATACCTTGCCATTCCTTTGGGACTCACTTGGTGATTTTTTTTTTTTTTTAGATTTTACATATGTGGAACAAGAACCAAGGCTGGGATTATTTGGACGGTTGGGTGCAATGATCATTGGAACTATTCTTTCCCTTTTTATCCTGACCATCCTATTCTACTTATGCAGAAAAAACAGCTGTAGAAGGTAGAGGTCACATCTTACATATATTTACACAAAACAATAAAAGACTAATATTTCTATACTTATATATTTAAGACCAAAACCAAGCAAAAACCTGTATATTAAACACTTTAAACCTTATTTACAAAACAATCTAAGATAAAAAATCATGGGAAATTTGACCTTGCAGGAGGAAGTCCTTTGAAATACGAACATACTTGACAGACTTACCGACTGAGGTAAGACTTTACAGCTATACAGAATAAATTTAAATAAATGATACATTTTTTAAAATCTAATGAATAAATTCAATGAGTTAATGTTTCTGTCATTAAGATGAGTAAGGTTAATAATGAACTATTCTTCTAAATAGCAATTCTGACATGCAAATTTGAAGGGCTCATTCCACACCATTCTATAATTATAAATGCTAAATGTGACTATTTACAAAAAGCATCAACATCAGTTACAGCTGAAATGGAAACTGCAGTGTAAAAGTGTGATAAGTGCGGTATAGTGAATTTTTAACTGTGCCATTTCCTTTCAATCTCAAATGCACTTTAATATAGTAAGTGATTGCATTTAAGGTATCAGTTTCCTGTTATTTTCTAAAGACTGTGTGTGGTTGTGGTTAAAGTTTGAGTGCTGCCAATTCTCATGACCCTTGTTTGCAGCAACATTATGAAATAGACAGTATATATTGTTTTAACATATTTTAATAACGATAATAAAACCATTGTTAAATATATATATATATTTTTTTTTATACGTATACAGTTTATATTGCATATTTTAATAACAATAATAAAATCATCCTAAAATGTAAATCCCTCATTTTAGACATTTGCTGAAGAATCAGTTGATGTACCAACTTCTCAAAGTTCTCCAAATGGCTTTGACCCCTCAAAACTTTATGCCAAGATCAAAAAAGACCTTTTCTATGGCCGGCTGTGGAAGTCTTACCAAGGCCAACCCAAATCATGGACACAAGGTACCATGACTGATCAAGGACATGTTTATCACTTATTATTACCGCAGAGAAATGTGGAGGGCAGCCCTTTGAGGCCAGATACAACAGAATGATTACATTTCAGTAGTTTATAGTTTCCAGTCTTTCCAGTGCGATTGAGAGGAATCTCGTCATTTTTGTGTAATGTAAAATAGCTTAAAGCAGATTGCAATGCATTATGTAAAGAAAAGAATGAATTAATAGTTTGAACTAATATTAAAAGAAATTAATTCATATTTTGTTTTCAGGTTAAGATAAATGTTTCTAACACTGAATAAACTTATAAATAAACGTTTATGTGAGAATCTAACAGACATGCAAGTCTCAAGTCTTTTGTCATGAGTCAAGTCTTTCAAAGCCAAATCTCAAATAATGTTGAATACTTTCTATATGCTGCAAGTTAGTTTTATGAACTTTGTCAATTCATTTAGATTTATAATTTCTAAGTATCTCCTTGTTCATTAAATCATGCTTATCTAAAACTATATGAAGTTTTGCTTAAATAAATTGATCATTTTACCATTTCAACCATGCATTTATGGTATATTCAATTGTTTCATTGTCCAAGTTGGCAAAAGAAAGAGAGAATGAAATAACACTAAACTAATTTTTCTTTTTCTTTTTGTAAATCTGTTCTACCTATCTTACCGTTTATGATCAGCGATATTTAGCTATTGCATGGGACAAGAAAATGGTATGCACTTCCGTTATCTAGCTAGCATGAACTCCTTTTAGACATGCTTTTTCTTCATCGAGGCCTATTAGACAAAACTGCAATGTCGCCTTCCACCCGCTTGGTGGGGCTACGATACTGTTTTTGAGAAGGAAATTTTCTTGGAAATGGCTTCGTGTCGTATTTCAAAGAAGGCAAATGTATTTATTATTTAAATTATTTTTTAATGTTCTCGAAACGTCTCATAGATTCCTGTGCCCACTATATCGAGCTTCACTCTAATATGTTTAGATAATTACTGACATACGATTAAAGTTGCCATGCTTTATTTGTTAGCTAACCAAAAGAAAGATGTTCAGTCTGTGTAAAGGCTGGACATGTGAAACTGTTTTAAAAGCCTGCAAGAGTTTAAAGTCCATGTTCGACTAAGGCGGCAGCCTGTCATCGAGGAACGGTATTGAGATTATGTACAGGAGCAATAAAAACTACACCAATTACAGCACTACAGGTTGAAATGGGGGAAATGTCATTAGAAATGAGAAGGGTACAGTTATCAGTGAATTATTGGGTTAATCTACAAGGCCATAGTCAAGAGCATCCAACACTAGATACTTTAAAGCCCTGTTGGGAAAAAGAAAGGAAGAAAATTAAAAGCTTTGGATGGACAGTGACACAGAAAGCAACAGAACTTGAAGTTAATCAGTTAAATGTTAGTCCAGCTGTACCGCTACCTGTAATACAACTTTGGTTACTTTCAGATGCTACAGTAGATTTTACATTGTTAGAACAGAAAAATAAGGGTAAGGAATGTAATTTATATAATGTGCAGACATATATTAATGAGTACTACAGCTATGTTCAGATCTACACAGATGCTTCAAAGAGTTTGGACAATAAGGTAGGCATCAAAGAGTTTAGACAATAAGGTAGGAGTAGCGTTTACTGTTCCAGAATTTCATTTATCAGTAAGGAAAAGGATCAGTGATGAGTTATCAGTTTATGTACAGGGGTAAGTCATTTTGATCCACACTCCATACCAGTTGGTGGCGGAAATACACCATTATGTTGTTTGTCAACCGCCAATAAAATGTCAAGAAGAAGAAGAAGAAAGTCCATGTTAGGCTGAGTGGAAACTTGTCACATCCTGACTGTGGTGGTCTGGAACATAGACGTAATAAATACCTAGACGCCTCATTGGCCGCTTTGAGTTGCTGCGATACCTCAACGCGTCCGCCATGTTTGTGAAGGCAAGACTGCCTTAAAAATAAATGGAGGTAAACGGAGGAGCTGAGGTTTTTTCTGGATAAAAACACGATAACGTTTATATTTTTCAACCGATTTCAGAGGTTTGTGATCTACATGGAGTTAAAAATAACTTTTACGCCTCCAGTTATTTAGTTAGGTTTGGAAAATTATTAATTTTCGTAAGAAATTGTGAGAACTCACACTTGTTGATTTGATTGATTTTTTCGGTTTACAATTCTAATGTTAATGTAGTATAACTGTGACATATACATGTTTTGTAATTTGAATGTACATTAAATTAAATTAAGTTGTTTCATTGCTTTCTCTGTCTTCAACCCCAACATTTTAATGAGGAAAAAAAATTAACTTAAATGATTTTAGCAAATGGCTGCAATATAACAAAGAGTGAAAAATTTAAGGGGGTCTGAATACTTTCCGTACCCACTGTATGTTCAGATCTACACAGATGCATCAAAGAGTTTAGACAATAAGGTAGGAGTAGCGTTTACTGTTCCAGAATTTCATTTATCAGTAAGGAAAAGGATCAGTGATGAGTTATCAGTTTATACAGGGGAAATGATTGCACTATTATTAGCAATACAGTGGATAGAAGAGATAAGACCTTTGAAATCAATTATTTGTTCAGATTCATGTTCATCATTGGCTAGTTTACAGTACAGTCACTCGGAAAGTAGACCAGACATTTTAATGGAAATAATGCAAACGTTATATAGAATTCAAATGATGGGGATTACAGTAGCCTAGTATTTGTATGGGTGCCGGCGCATATCCAAGAAATGAAATTGCAGATAAAGAAGCAAAAGAAGCAGTTAAAAACAACGACATTAACTTAATTGTTAATCTAAGTAAGAATGAAATCAAGAGTATTATTAAGAAAAGACTGAAGGAAAGGTGGCAAAAACAATGGGATAAGGAGAAAAAAGGTCGGTGGTTTTACAGAATTCAAAGGAAAGTGGGAGAGATGAGAAGTGCAGGGAAAAACAGGAGAGATGAGATAGTAATATCAAGGATGAAATTTGGACACACAAGATTAAATAGTACACTTTTTAAAATGGGTAAACATGATACGGGAAGGTGTGAATTTTGTGGACAAGAAGAAACAGTGGAACATGTTATACTGTACTGTCAGAAATACGAGACTGAAAGAAGGATTCTAATGCAAAATTTAGAAAAAATAAAATAGCAATTTACACTGAGATTTTACGAAATAACTCAGGGAATGAATGCCATGGTTTTATTTTTCATTACCTCAAAATAACTAATGTGTGTGAGAGAATATTAATGGGGGGGGTAAGTCATTTTGATCCACACTCCATACCAGTTGGTGGCGGAAATACACCATTATGTTGTTTGTCAACCGCCAATAAAATGTCAAGAAGAAGAAGAAGAAAGTCCATGTTAGGCTGAGTGGAAACTTGTCACATCCTGACTGTGGTGGTCTGGAACATAGACGTAATAAATACCTAGACGCCTCATTGGCCGCTTTGAGTTGCTGCGATACCTCAACGCGTCCGCCATGTTTGTGAAGGCAAGACTGCCTTAAAAATAAATGGAGGTAAACGGAGGAGCTGAGGTTTTTTCTGGATAAAAACACGATAACGTTTATATTTTTCAACCGATTTCAGAGGTTTGTGATCTA